GGCCTGGTGGTCCCGGCCTGGTGGTCCCGGCCTGGTGGTCCCGGCCTGGTGGTCGGGGTGGCCTGGTGGTCCGATGGTCTGGTGGTTTGGGTGGCCTGGTGGTCCGGGTGGCCTGGTGGTCCCGGCCTGGTGGTCCCGGCCTGGTGGTTGGGGTGGCCTGGTGGCCGGGGTGGCCTGGTGGTCTGGATGGCCTGGTGGCCGGATGGTCTGGTGGTTTGGGTGGCCATGCCCGACGGCGTGGATGACGGCCGACTACGTGTCATTCCACCAGGTCACCGGCACATCAGCATTACTCTGGGGCAGGGGTCTGCAACCTTTAAGACATAAAGAGCCACTTGGACCCGTTTCCGAAGGAAAAAAAAACCTGGGAGCCGCAAAACCATTGCGACATTTAAAACAAATATAACACTGCATATATTGTTTCTTACCTTAATGCTTTATACCAGATCGTGCAGTTAGCTGTCAATCTGAAGAAAAAAAGGATTTTTTCACTTAACAATGTAAAATATGTTTTTGCAAATTAATAGCTAATTAAAATATTTAATTTACCTGGTTAATGGGATTTTTGCTCCTGAACCTCAGTGCACAGTGTCAGCACATCAGGGCTGTAAGATGTTACCTTCATTTTCACACAGGCTTGCAAGTTGTTGGAGCCGCGGTAAAGCTTCACAAGAGCCGCATGCGGCTCTGGAGCCGTAGGTTGCCCACACCTGCTCTGGGGTGTCGGGGCGCAGCCTGTGGGTGTGGGGGGAGGAGCCTGTGGGTGTCAGGAGGAGCCTGTGGGTGTGGGGGAGGAGCCTGTGAGTGTCGGGGGGCAGCCTGTGGGTGTGGTGGGAGGAGCCTGTGGGTGTCGGGAGGAGCCTGTGGGTGTGGTGGGAGGAGCCTGTGGGTGTCAGGAGGAGCCTGTGGGTGTGGTGGGAGGAGCCTGTGGGTGTTGGGAGGAGCCTGTGGGTGTGGTGGGAGGAGCCTGTGGGTGTCGGGAGGAGCCTGTGGGTGTGGTGGGAGGAGCCTGTGGGTGTCGGGGGACAGCCCGTGGGTGTCGGGAGGAGCCTGTGGGTGTGGGGGGCAGCCTGTGGGTGTCGGGGGGCAGCCTGTGGGTGTCGGGAGGAGCCTGTGGGTGTGGGGGGAGGAGCCCGTGGGTGTCGGGGGGCAGCCCGTGGGTGTCGGGGGGCAGCCTGTGGGTGTCAGGGGGCAGCCTGTGGGTGTTGGGGGACAGCCTGTGGGTGTCGGGGGGCAGCCTGTGGGTGTCGGGGGGCAGCCTGTGGGTGTGGTGGGAGGAGCCTGTGGGTGTCGGGAGGAGCCTGTGGGTGTCGGGGGACAGCCTGTGGGTGTTGGGGGGCAGCCTGTGGGTGTCGGGGGATAGCCTGTGGGTGTCGGGCGGCAGCCTGTGGGTGTCGGGGAACAGCCTGTGGGTGTCGGGAGGATCCTGTGGGTGTCGGGGGGCAGCCTGTGGGTGTCGGGGGACAGCCTGTGGGTGTGGGGGGACAGCCTGTGGGTGTCGGGGGGCAGCCCGTGGGTATGTGGGGGGGGACTGCCCGTGGGTGTGGGGGGAGGAGCCTGTGGGTGTCGGGGGGCAGCCTGTGGGTATCGGGGGAGGAGCCTGTGGGTGTGGGGAGGAGCCTGTGGGTGTCGGGGGACAGCCTGTGAGTGTCGGGGGCAGCCTGTGAGTCGGTGGGCTCAGGGAAGCAGACAGCCCGCCCCCTTGTGGTGGGGCCTCGTCCACCTTGCTCAGGGTGGGGAGGCTGAGCAGAGGGAGGAGGCTGTGTCCCCCGTCTGCTGAGCTGGGACCTCAGCTTTTCCCTCCCCAGCCGGCTGCCCCATCCTCTGGTCTCAGCGCCCAGACCGCCTCTCAGCCCCGCAGCCATGGCCCAGTCATCACAACCGAGCCCCCTCTCCTCTCGCTCACACTGCCTGGCACAGGCTGGCTATCAGCTCTCTGTGCCTCAGCTTCCTTAGCCGTTAAGCAAGGAGGACGATTAGCTTAGCTACTTAATAAGCACAAGCACTGCGCTTACCTCTGGTCTCCATAAACTCCCGTGAGACACTGGGTGCAGCTCCCCACGCGGGCGTCGGGAGCCCAGGGCAGGCGGAGCCCAGGACGCGCGATGAGCTGTGTCGCCCTGGCGGGGGCGCCCCCTCCCGCTGTGCAGAGTTGGGAGATGGGCACAGAGGTGCCGGTCAGGGCATGCGCATTACTTCCCATCCTTGTCCTCATCGCGCCCCCCTCCCTGGGGCCACGGGAGGCTCGGCCCTGTCTCTGGTGTGTGCAGCCAGAGCGAGGGCCTGGCCCTCCACCCACCGCTCCCCCTGCTGTGGCCGCACCTCTCAGGACGCAGGACCACAACCACGTCCTGAATGAAATGCACAGAAGGCAGGTGCGCGGCCGGCTGGGAATGGAAGGGGCTGTGCCTGGAGCAGCCATGGAGCGGCTGTGCGGCGCCCTCCTCAGCGCCAGGCATCAGCCGGTGATCCAGGTGCGGACCCCACCAGGCCCGGCTCCCTCAGCTCGTCTGTGCCCCAGCAGCCGCACACCGAGGACAGGGGCTCCCCAGCACGGTGTCCTTCGGAGACCACTGCCTCCACCTCGGGGTCCCGGGAAGACCAGACGGCGGCCGCCGAGTGTTGGGTGAGGATTTGAGGAGGGGCTGGCACCAGCCCACAGTCACAGGCGCGTCTCGGGAGGGGAAGGAAGAGACCCTGTGGTGGCTGCACGCCCTCTGGGGACCCCTGCTGGGCAGAGCCCGCCCAGCCGCCTGGCTGGTAGCCTGACACACCGGGCTTGTCTGTGCTGCCCCCTTGTGTCCAGCGACTACAACTGCAGATCTCACCCCCATGCCAGCACCACCAGCACCGCTGGCAGGGGCGGGAGCCCGGCTGCTGGGCTCAGAGCTCACCAGGAGTGGTACCCGGGAGCCAGGCCCAGCGGAATCATCAAACACCCACTGGCTCAACCCCAAGCTGGGAAGGAAGAGCGTGGCCAGGAGGATGGAGGTGCAGTGAGACAGGAGGGAATTTAAAATATACATGTTGTGATTTTTGAGAGAGAGGAAGGGAGAGGGAGAGCCATCAATGACGAAAGAATCATCGATCGGCTGCCTTCACACTGGGGACTGAGCTTGCAACCGGGCATGTGCCCCGACTGGCAACGGAACCGTGACCTGGTTTCTAGGTTGATGCCCGACTGCTGAGCCACGCGGCCGGGAGGGGGTTTGCGCAGGACACAGCCCTGGACACTCGCACACGCCTGGGGCCAGCCCCGCCCCTGGTGTTGCAGCAACTGGGGTTGGGCAGAGCTGATGCCTCGAGGCACCTCCAGCCGGCAGGGCCATGTGCTTCTGCGGGAGCTCTGATTGCCACGCCTGACCCTCCAGAAGATGAAGCCCGAGTGACCCCGGAGCCATGTGCCAAAGGGCGCCCGGGAGCGGGGCCGTGCTCGGGGCCCAGAGGGACCCGGGGCTGCGGAGAGGAGCGGACAGGTCCAGGCAGAGGGTCGTGGCCTGGCCTGCAGGTGTGCAGGGTGAGAGGGCCCAGAGGCCGGCTTCTCACTAGAGGCACTATGAGAGCATCCTTACTCGGGGCTGCAGGACGGGGGACAAGATAGAGGAGGGCGGGGAGGGAGGGGAGCCACCTGGGCAGGAGGGGAGAACATATGTGAGAGGAGCTTGGGGTGAAACAAGGGGACAAGCACCCCAACTGGCCAAGAAGCAGAGGGTCACAGTGAGCGGATGGGGAGGCAGAGGCTGGGCGGAGGCGGTCCTGCAGGCAGGTGAGCTTGAGGGAGTCTCCAGGGCCTGGCAGCCCAGCGAGGGGCGTGGAGAGTGGGGAGAGGCCCGATGGAGCCTGGCGACCCCAACGTTATGGTCTTTCACCGGCCAAGCCCCTGCCAGAGGAGCCCCGCTGGCGGGAGGGCGGGGGAGCCTCCATCCTTCCGGGCGCTCACAGCGAGCTCCGGCGGCGCGGGTGCGCAGTGGGTGTCACAGGCCATTGCCGGCCTGGGCACCGCACCGTCAGAGTCGATGTTTAGGGAAAGAGCGACCCCGTGCTGGGCTCCTTTCATCCTGTTTTATGATCCATAGGTGGGCACACACACATGCATACCTGTGCTGCATGCACACACATACACGCCCACATGCACTCTTCCTGCGCCAGCAGCAGTGAATGAAAGTGGGACCTGGAGTTGCAGACCCAGGAGGGTGTGGGGCCCTGGAGGGAGACTACTGGTCATAGGGGACGGGAGGGGGGCACCCGGGAGGCTCCTGAGAAAACAGGCTTGCCTGGCAGCCCTCGCAGACTCCCAAAAGCCAGCATGAAGGATGTGCAAGACCACCGAACTGTGCAAATTTCTAGAAATGAAGCACGCCAACAGGGACATAGTCGTTAAATATTAAAATATATTTACACACATAATTTTGTCTGAGGACACCGGGGAACAAACATCCGTGAAAGTCCAGCGAATACACAGGTTCTGCTGAGCGAGCACTCGCCACCGGCAGAAGGAAGTGTTCACGCGAATGGCCCGCAGTATTTGCTCCGTCCCCCGGGCCGTGCGGCGGGACAGGTGACAGCAGGTCTGAGTACGGACTGGCTCCGTGGGGAGCACAGCCTGGAAGTGGTGTCCCACCGCCTCCCTCCGCAGGACCCACAGGAAGTCAGGGCTGTGCCGGGCGGCGGAGGCACCAGCCACCGCCGCACTCAGCGGGCCCTCCCGGGAACCGAGAACCGAAGTGGCCACCGCGTGAGCCCAGGGCCGGGAGGTGCAGGCGGCGCTCACCGGGCGGGGCCGCAGGGGGCGCCACACTCGCCAGCATTTCCCATGTCGTCAGTCCTTCTTGTCCCTCCCGGGCTCAGACACGAGCAGCAGCCCTCCTGCCTCGGGCCCCCCAGAATCTAAGAGCTTCGGACTGGGGAGCAATCAGTGAGGGGTCAGCCCCTCTGTGGAGAAGTTGCTGGTGGGTTGGGGGAGCCCTGAGTGCTGGCCCAAGTCCGGTGGGCGGGCTGGATCAGACGTTGCTCTGGAGGCCTGAGGGGGCCCCCTGGAGGTCCGAGGGGCTGTCGGAGGCCGAGGACTGGCTGGGCAGAGACGCTTCCAGGCCCGGGGGAGGCGCCCGCCGGGACTTGTACAGGACGTATGAGGCCCCGAAGAAGAGGAAGCCCAGCACCTGCAGAGAGAGGGCGCTGGACCGGAGCTGCCACCCAGCCCCGTGCGCCCCAGCTCCTCTCGGGCTCTCAAGACCCCCCACTCTGGCAAGAAGACCCCTTTTCCTGCACAGCGAGTCCCTGGGGAGGGCCTCTTTAAAACCAAGCGGGGCTATTCTCCAGAGCTCCCCAAGCCCCTGGGCACACGTGGCTGTTTTCACTCTAATCTGGGGGTCAGCCCAGCTGTCTGTGCCAGAGGCCCCTCAGGGAGGCCCTCCCGCGGGGTCCAAAGCACCAGATCTCGGCCTCGCCGGCGCATGTGCCCAGCGGAGGCAGGAAGGTACATTGAAGCCGGCTCAGGGGCCCAGCACACCGACCCGGCCTGCACGCCCAGGCTGCCAGGCTTGATTCCTCCAGAGCCCGAGCTGCCAGAGCCACGGGCTCACCCAGGCCGCCGTGGCAAAGGCCCCGGAAGGCAGGGCGCCCTCTGACCCCGGGCTGCAAGCTCAGGCAGTGACCCAGGCTGGCTCTCCCAGTCACCACGACATCAGGGTCCCAATGCCAGCTCTAGACGGGGAAGGACAGCTCTGCAAGGTGGGCTTCACCCCTGCTGCAGAAGATTCCGGGCTTCCTCCCTCAGCCGCCCAGCAGCCCAGCTGCTCACCTTATACACCAGCCCGGCGATGAGCATGTACCGGCTCATGGCTGCGTTCTGGTACAGGAAGCAGGAGCCCTGCTGGCCGCACTGGTCCTGCCACAGCAAGCAGGCCTTGTCAATCACCCAGCCGAAGGCGATGGGCCCCGGGATGCCCCCTGTGGAGAGAGGCCCACTCAGCTCCCCGAAAGGGACCTCGGCCATGGCGTTCCCAGGGGGTGCACGGGGGCCTCAGTGTTCCTTCTCTGGGGACTGGGCTGCAGGCCAGGACGTTTCCTGGGACCCCGACCCGCAGGGAGCTTCTGTGGGTGAGGAATGGCACCTCCCTCTGGGGGCCTCCAGTGGAGCCTTGGGGAGAGCGTTCTTCCCAGGTGGCACAGGCCTGGGTGGGCACTGCCGGTGCCCGGTGCAGTGAGCACATGCCCAGCGGTGCGTGGCCCTCAGTAAGTACCTAGAGTCCTAACCACGATCCACTGGATTCCCAGCGCGAAGGACCTCTGCTGGTCGCAGACGCACCTGAGCCAGAAAAGCAAGTCAAAGCCGGGAAGCGTGGCCGCCAAGTCACCCCCACGCCCACAGCGGGTCCCGGCCGAGCTCCGGGCCGCTCTGCCACCTCCCCAGGTGGAGAGACCTCGGAGGCGCGGCTGGAGCTCGCTGGAGGCTGCAGGGAGGCTCCGGAGGGAGCGAGCGCGGAGCCCAGCGTGCTTACCGTAGGGTTGCCGTCAGCGCGGGAATGCTGCTGAGGAAGGTAAAGGTAATTACAACGAATATGAAAACCAGAAGGAGGGGCTTGCTCTGACAAGTTGAAGTGCATTTCCCTGCAGTAGCATGGCCAAAACCAGAGGAAAAATTCTGAAGGACACACCTACAGTCTCGGTACACCTGAGGAGCGCAACAACAGCGCTGATTACCGGGGGAAGGGCCAGGGGCCTCCCAGCCGGGCGCGGGTGGACGCGGGCAGGGCCGCACTCACCTTCTGGCCGCCGGGGCCGGGCGCCGCCTCCTGGCAGCCGGCGTGGCAGGGCGAGTAGTACATGAGGCCGTCGGAGCCGCACACGGGGCTGTAGAGCCCGGGCCCGCAGCCGCAGGCGGCGTTGCAGGAGGCTGTCAGCTCCGGGCGGCCCGCAGGCGACACGCTACAGGTGGGAGAGGCGAGGCGGGCGGTGGGCGGAGGCGGGGCCAGGAGGCCTCGCCCATGAACCGCTGGGCTGGCGCGGGGCCTACCTGCTGTTGTGGCGGGCCGTCACGCCCACCATGGGCACGTTGGGGCAGTGCGCGAAGAAGACCAGGATGGCCAGCAGGCTGGTCAGGGAGCAGGCCAGGCAGAACTTGATGACGCTCGAGCCACGGAGCTTCAACTTGTTCACGAAGAAGCCACCCAGGAAGGTGCCGCCCCCGCCCGCCGGCACCACCAGGTACCCTGTGAGATGGGGAGGGCTCAGCCAGCGGTTCCGGGTGTCCTGGCGCCTGGGGTGGGCCCTGATCCTGCCGCATCCCGTTACCCCTCCTTTACAGACGGGGCACGGAGGGGCAGGGCACCCCTGTCTGAGGGCAGCGCCGGGCTCGGGCGGGCCGGGGCCTGACCAGCGCTCTCTGCTGTCGGAGTGGGGGAGCCGAGACCCACTCCGACACCATTCAACATGAAGCTGAGATCAAGTGATGGGAGTGGGGCTCCGGGGGCAGTGGGCACCTGAGAGGCCCCAGGCTTAGGGGGCCATCTCCCCAGCACTGACCAGAGCCAGCTCTGGGGCAGGAGAGGGGGCTCCAGAGGACATGGCCGTTCCAGGGGCCCATGGGGAAGGGAGGCGGATGTGGGTGGGAATCTGGGTATGCGGCGCCTGCTGAGAGGTGGAGGAAGGGGTGGGGTCCTCTAATCCGATGGCCCCCCACATGCTGGGAATGGGAACCTGAGGCTGAGTGGCCTCGGTGCTGCTCCCCACCCTGCACTCACAGCTGACCTGTGCCCTCTGACCTCTCCCCCCCTCCCCGCCGAGGAGGCTGCCCCTTGGGCAGCAGTGGGAGCCGCACCCTCCTGGGCGGGCTGCCTGCTCGGGTCTCCCGAGGCCCCGACACCAGGTGCCTAGCTCAGGGGGATGGCACGCCCAGGTCCTGGTGGCGATGGGAGATGCCGGCAAGCTGAGGGCCCTCCCAGCTAGAGGGACCCGCCAGGAAGGCAGCGGCTCCATGAGGCCCTGAGACCGGCCAGCACGCCGCGCATGCGTGGGCAGTGGCCCGGGCCCTCGGGGGGTGGGGGGGACGGTGCCCCGGAGCCTTGCCTCCGGCCAGACCGTTCTCGGGCTCTTCCTGCCCGGGCGTATCCAGAAGGCACTCCCCAGACCCATTGCTCGTCCGAGAGCTGCTGACGAGGCTGCGGGCCCCTGGAGTTCAGAGACTTTTCTCACCAAACAGGGTGGCGGCTTCCGAGGCGCTGAGGCTGAACTGGGACTCGAGGAACTTGGGGCCGAACGTGGACATGCCAGCAATGAGGGTGGCCTCCGTGGCCCCGGCCAGGCAGAGCAGGATGAACACGGGGTTCTTCAGGAGGAGCCAGATGGAACTGGACAGGGCGGGGATGGAGACAAGAGAGGAGACAGAGGGTCAGAGTGGCCAGAGCCAGGGGGTGAGGAAGCCACGGCTCCTGAGGCCATCGCCCTTCCCAGCTGAGCCCACTGAGCCCCGTTCTGCGAGAAGAGTGGGTGGCCGATGAGCTGGGAGGCACCCACATTTCCCCAGAGAAACCAAGAGGAGCGTTAGGCTGGGCTGTGGCAGGGAGCGCTGGCACCAGGACCCTGAGCTCCTGCTTGCTGTAAAGCTGCGGTCACTGGTGGCGGAGGAGCCTCTTTGCTGCCTTGGCCAGAGTTCGGGCTTTGGTGAGGAGGGACCTTGAGTGACCCATGTCCCTGTTTGATCACCCTGGGGCAGCTGCTGCCAAGTCAGGGCACTGAGGCCGGGGCTCCGCCGCCAGCAGCTGTGGGAAGGGGCGGGAAGCCCCGCAGACTTGGGCGGAGGCCCTCCCCGGAGCCCAGTGGGCTGGCCGGCTCTGCGGCTTCGCCTGGGGTACACTTGGGGGTGAAAACAGGGCCTGAGGAAGGTGCTGGTGTTGGTGCCACCGAACCTGGTCCCCGATGCCCCGGTGGACCCGCCTGGACCCACTTCTGAGGACTGAGAGAACTCAGCCCGGCACAGCCTGCGGGACCACGGGGCCATGGGTCCGGCTGTGGGCCGTGAGCCTGGAGGTGCTGGCGTCAGTTCAGAAGTCTGTCCCGTGTCACCCTGTCAGGACTGGGTGCCAGGCCTCGGTCTGCAGAGGCTCCGAGGGCCAGGCCCTGCACGCCACATGGGTGCAGCACTGCTCAAACGTGGGAGACACTCAGAGAGCCCGGCGGGGGCTCAGCTGGTTGGGCGTCCCCGTGCACCACAGGCTGCGGTTCGGTTCCTGGTCAGGCACACACCTGGGTTGCGGGTTTGATCCCCAAATGACGAGCGTATGGAAGGCAACCTATGGATGCCTCTCTTTGTCTCTCTCGCTTCCTCTCTGTAAGCATGTCCTTGGGTGAGGATGAAAAAAATCAATGGCACTAAATGACAGTAGTGAGGAAGGCAAACGTGGGATGGAAAGGGACACAGACCCTGGGAGGTCTGGAATGGAGGGCTGGGCTCTGCGTGCCCGGCTCCAGCTCGCACAGCTTTTCTCACCTGTTCCCCCACTGTGCCCCCTCCCGTCCCTCTCTCTGCCCCGTTCTCTCCCTCCGTCCCTCTCCCTGCACCGTTCTCCCCTCTGTCCCTCTCCCTGCACCTTTCTCCCCCCTCCGTCCCTCTCCCTGCACCGTTCTCCCCCCCTCCCTCTCTCTGCACCCATTCCCCCTCACAGTCCCTCTCTCTGCACCGTTCTCCCCCTCCGTCCCTCTCTCTGCACCCATTCCCCCTCACAGTCCCTCTCTCTGCACCGTTCTCCCCCTCTGTCCCTCTCCCTGCACCTTTCTCCCCCCTCCGTCCCTCTCCCTGCACCGTTCTCCCCCCCTCCCTCTCCCTGCACCGTTCTCCCCCCCTCCCTCTCCCTGCACCGTTCTCCCCCCCTCCCTCTCCGCCACGCAGCAGCATCCGGGCGGCACAGAAGTGTGGCCAGTGGCTTGTTACGCCCCGGGAAGGTGCAGGACACAGCTGGGTGGGACAGCCTCACTCCCACGCTGACAAAAGCAGTCTGACACGTGACTACCGTGCGGCTGACAGTGGCTCTGAAGCGGCTCCTCGTGCCGCCGAGGGGCTCCCGGCTGCTCCCGAGGCCGGCACGGTGCCTGTCCTGGGGTCTCCTGCCCGCGCGGCCCGGTCTCCCTCACCCAGCAAGTCACGGCCACACGACCGTCACGGCCAAGACGCTCTTCTCGGACGCGGTCTGGGCAGCGGGCCTGCAGCGTGGCCGCCTGAGCCGAGGGAGGGCCGCCCCCACTCGTCTTTCCGGACGGGCAACTGCTCAGCTGACTCCAGCAGCCCTCACCAGGCCTGGCTCCAAAGGGGAACCGGTGCCTGCAAAGCTGGCTTCCGCACTCGGTGCTGGGAAGGCCGGGGACAAAACGCCGTCAGTGGTGTGGCCGGCGGGCCCAGCACCGTCTCCGCCAGGCACAGGCCTCAGGTGCGTTTGTTCTCTGGGAGGGACAGCGTGTGGCCATTCCTCGCTGCCTGGCCCGATCCGCCCACGCTCTGGCTGGCAGGAAGGGGCTCTCCCGAGTGGCCAGCACACTCTGTGTCTCCTTTTCCTGCAGGACGTGCGACTGAGATCTGGCTTGAATTTGCTCAGAGAACTAGTCACGATTTAACAGGCACACGCATCGGCTTTCCGACCAGCAACTGGTCTGGGAACTGAGCCTGGGCACGGACCTCCGGGCGTCGGCCACCCCCTCGGGCCACTGGGGGCAGGCCCAGTGCCCAGCACGGTGCCAGCTGGGAGTGTGCCAGGAGACAGTGCTCCCACCCCTGCCAGTGTGGACCTGGCCAGCTCGCCTGTGGGGGGCACCCTCCAGAGTGGGTGGCTCTTTTGGGGGATCTGACAGGAAGTGGGGAGGGGAGAACAAGCCCTAGGCGGTGGAGACCTGTGTTGGCTCTGCTGCCCTGGAGGGTGCCCTCGGCCTGAGCCCCTTCACCCTCCGTGCTGAAGACAGGCAAGGCCAGCCCACTGCCAGCAGCCCGAGCCCGGGGGCTGTTAGACCGCCGGTCACGGGCTCAGGACACTGCCGGGTGGGGTGCTGGTGAGCGGGAGAGACCCCGTGGAAGGCCCGATCCTGGCAGAGGGGCTCTGGGCAGCCATGAGCCCCCAGGCCCACGTCCTGCTGAGACCCCAGCAGCCCAGGCAGGGCTGTTTGTGAATGAGAATGGCAACGCAAGTCATGTCCCCAAGAGAGGGGAGATGCGAACAAGAGGGCGCGAGGGCCCGGGCCGAGGCTGAAAGGCGGTGCCAGCCTGGAGCCCGAGCCGCGTGCAGGCGGCACCTAGTGACATGGTGGGAGGTTCAACAGAGCGAGGGCCTGTGGCCGGTCAGGGCGACTCTTGGGCGTGGCCTGAGGTCAGTGGCGCCCCTGGCGCCCAGGGGTCATGAGCTCACATGGCCCGGAGGACCACCCAGCCCTCCTAGTTTGGGGCCAAGATTCCGTGTGTGGGAGACCCGGAGGGGCCCCGGGACACAGGTGTGGGCGAGGGGCGCAGGCCGAGGACCGCCCCAGCTCCTTACAGAGGCAAGTCTCTGACGGTTCTCCCGAAGCCGGGGCTGCTGGCCGCCTGCGGGCTCTGGTCCTTCAGCTGGTGCGTCTCAGAGGCTCGCATGGCCACATAGTGCTGGGAGCCTGGAGGGACAAGACGCCAGGAGACTCAGGGCCTGCACGCATGGGCGGCTGCGGGACGGAGGGGTGCGGACCCACCCTGGCAAGAGTGGGACAGAGCCAGCAGACGACCTGGCGCCACTGAAACCAGCCTGTCATGGCCCCCGGGGAGGGCGCCAGCTGGCCGGCCCGCCTGCAGGATGGAGGACCTGGCAGACACCGCATCTGGACTCTCCTGTGAATCTCAGCAGCTCACACGGCGAGGGGCTTGCACACTCATGGCGGGGGGGGGGGGGAGGGGAGGGAAGAGGGAGGGGAAGCACCCACCTGGCAGCCGCCGCGGGTAGCCGAGGATGGGAACTGCAATGAAGAGGGCAGCGGCCCCGGTGCCCAGGAAGCCCACCCACCAGGCACCAACCCACAGCGGGCTCTCGCTGGTCAGCTCGGTCCTGTGGGGAAGGCAGTGGGGTCAGTATCCAGGCACTGAGCTGGGTGTCCCTTGACTTGCTGGTCCACGCAGGCCAGTGGGAGGGTGTAGAGTGAGGGACACAGCCCCACCTACCTCTCGCACAGAACACGCACATTTGACAACCAATTTAGTCAACCTGAGGCCACAGGTGGCGTTTGTACCAGGGCAGAGGCGCGCCATCTGCAGAGAGAGTCCAAGGGTAGCCAGCAGAGCCCCTGCTTCTCAGAAGGCGTCAGGAAGCGCCCGAGACGGTGAGGGCCTGAGCACAGGGCGCCTCCGAGCCCGAGTGGTCACAGGACACCCTTCCTGCTCCCTCCTCTGTCTGTCTATCCTGATATCTCCCTCTCTCGCTCCTGCTTAGATTTACAAAAACATAGAATCACAAGCAGAGTGTACGAGGAATAAAAGAAATACTCTGACATGACAGGCAGGGCAGATTTGGGCTTCACCCCGTCTTGGCAGAGCTCCTTAATTCTTTGTAATTTCCTGGGTGACAGCAGTGTCTTTGTTGGGATGTGGCCACTCTTGGTGTGTCCCTTGAGAGCCTCTGAGGGGCCTGGTCACCAGAAACACCAACCACGAGGTCAGCAAGTGGCAACTTTTGGTCCACGCGACTCCGGTGGCAGTTGGCCACCAACGGGCAATGATTAACCAACCGCCCCTACGAAGTGAAGCCATAAAACCCAACAGAAGGGGGTGCACGTGGGGGAGCGGGGAGGTGGGCACCCAGAGGGTGGGGAGCTCCGCCCCTCCACACCGCACACCCGTCTACTCCCCATGTGTCCTCCCCAGCTCTGCGAGCCACTGGAGCAAACCGCTGAGCTGAGGGTCTGGGAACCTCCGTGCTGATCCCACGGAGAACGGAGGGGAACCTGGTGTCTTTTCTGGGGGATCTCATGGGCCTGAGCCCTGACCTATGGGGTCTGCGCTGACACTGGAGAGTCAGGGTCAGACCGCAGCTGGGTTTGGGACACCGGCTGGTGTCTGGGAAGCGATTGGCATGAAAAAGCCCACGGAAAAGAATCTCACACCGGCAGAGGCGAAGCCACTCCGTTCCGCAAAGACACCGAGGCCCGGTCCCCGCGCTCGGGCTTCCTCCATGCGGCCCCACCCCAGGCCTGTCCTCAGCCACGGGACCAGCAGCCCTGGGCCACACCGTGCTCCGCCACGCCCCGCCCGCGGACCGCGCGTCCTCTCGCCATCCTGTGCCGCAGGGGCCCACTCACCGCCGGCCGATCTCCGTGTAGATGTTCAGCAGGGCGCCCCCGATCAGGTAGCCGGCCGCGGGGCCCAGGATGGCCGCGGTGTAGAAGATGGCTGTAGGGGGAGCAGGGCAGTCAGGTGGCGGCCAGCCCGTTCCCCGCCGGCTCTGTGACACTCAGACACCGGGCCACCGGGGAGCAGCCCACCCACACCCCCTGCCTGCCCACCCTCCGCAGGGGCGCCCCACACCCCCTCCACGGTGCCTGAGGCCTGGCTGGGCCAGCCTTTTAAGGGGATTTTAAAACAATTCTCAGAGCCAACCGGTGCCGCTGGCAGTCCTGCCCGTGCCGCAGAGCACTGAGGCCAAGTGCCCAGAAGGGGCCCGGCTCCGAGCGACACCCATCACACTGCCCCCCCCTCCCCGGCCTGCCGGCCTCACTCACCAATGTAGACCGGCGAGGAGCTGGACTTGACGTTCTCGTCCAGGTAGGTGACCCCCAGCGTGTACAGGGGCGTGGCGCCCGCTCCGTGCAGGAACTGGCCCAGCATGAAGACGAGCCGGTAGCTGGACAGGCTGGAGGCGCGGGGCCCGCACGCCACGCTGCGGTTGGCGCGGCACAGCCCGAGGCCCTCGTCCACCTCCACCTGGTAGGGGCCCGTGGCGAAGTGGGGCAGCGCGAACACCAGCGAGCCGGCGCCCATGAGCAGCACGCCCCAGCCCAGCCAGCGGGGCTTGTGCCCGTGGCCCCCGAAGTAGCTGACGAAGGTGAGGCAGAGGCAGGCGGCCAGGTCGTAGGCGCTGGCGATGAGGCCGCTCTGGTAGCTGTGCAGGTCGTAGCGCCGCTCGATGGAGGTGATGACGGTGCTGAGGAAGCCGTTCACCGTCATGCCCTGCAGGAAGGCGGCGGCGCACAGGAAGCCCAGGAAGCCGCGCGGCGTGTTGAGGGCCTGCAGGCACCTGGGGGTGAAGGCCCGCCAGCCGCACTCCGAGCTCCGCGGCCCGGCCGCCGGGCAGCACAAGGCGCGGGCGCCGTGCTTCTGGGCCCTGGGCTGGCACAGCGGCTGGCTGCAGGAGTCCAGGGGGCCGTGGGCGCCCAGGCTCAGGGGCGCGCCCAGGGACGCCCGCCGGCTGGAGGGGGTGTGGCCACACCTGTCGTCCAGAGCAGAGGGCGGGCTGGGGAGCACCGGCTGCGGCACGGGGGCGAAGGGCTTGTCCCCCATCACGTGCTGAGGCATCTCTCCCCGGAGGCAGCGATCGTGTCCCAGGGCCCTCTGTTCTGTGAGGAGGAGATGTGGTGAGCAAACTGCACCAACCCACGCGCACACCACCATCTCCGCTAACACCCCACCCGCCCCGCCCCCGGGGGCTAACTCCCCACCCGCCCCGCCCCGGGGGGCTAACACCCCATCCACCCCATCCACTCCGCCCCCGGGGGGGCTAACACCCCACCCGCCCCGCGGGGCTAACTCCCCACCCGCCCCGCCCCCGGGGGCCAACACCCCATCCACCCCGCGCCCGTCCAGTCCATATTGCCTCCTGGCGGCTAACTCCCCACCCGCCCCGCCCCCGGGGGGCTAACACCCCATCCACCCCATCCACTCCGCCCCCGGGGGGGGCTAACACCCCACCCACCCCGCCCCGGGGGGCTAACACCCCACCCGCCCCGCCCCCGGGGGGCTAACTCCCCCCCCCCGCCCCGCTCCCCCCGGGGGGCTAACACCCCACCCGCCCCGCCCCGGGGGGCTAACTCCCCACCCGCCCCACCCCGGGGGGGCTAACTCCCCACCCGCCCCACCCCGGGGGGCTAACTCCCCACCCGCCCCGTCCCCCGGGGGCCAACACCCCATCCACCCCATCCACTCCGCCCCCAGGGGGGGGCTAACACCCCACCCACCCCGCCCCGGGGGGCTAACTCCCCACCCGCCCCGCCCCCCCGGGGGCTAACACCCCACCCGCCCCGCCCCGGGGGGCTAACACCCCACCCGCCCTGTCCCCCGGGGGCTAACACCCCATTTGCCCTGCCCCCTGGAGCAGCTGCAGCTCCATCTGCCCAGTCAGTGCCCGGGCTGGTGGGGTGACCTTCCAAGACCAGCCCCCTCTCCGAATTCAGGGCCCCACCTGAGGCCACACATACAGGGCAGCACGTCTCGACCACCGTGGCTGGGCCTAGGGTGGGCCAGGCCGAGGACAGCCCCTCCTGACTGAGGCCTGAATCGGAGCTGGGGCACAGCCGGGCAGGCTGGGCGTGGGGGCCCACGGGCCACCCTGAGCACATGTCCCGGCTGCTGTGAGGCCCTTCCCTCTGGCTTCAAGCGTGGCCCTCATTCTCCTGAACACATCCTGCTAGCTTCCTGTGCCTTCGTGAGAACAAGGACTTCGTCTCAGCCCGAAGTTTGGGGGTGTTGGAAGTGAGGAAGTGGGGGAGACAGCACAGCAGGGACCCCGAGCCCTGGGAGTCCTCCCAGACAAACCGGGAGCCTCGAAGGGTGACAGCAGGGACCCAGGTGGGACCTGACAGGCCTGGCACTCGCTTTCATTTGGAGATGGGGCCTCCGGCAGCAGCACCGGACGCCAGGCCTGCGGTGCAGCCTCTGCCTGCGCGGGCTCCTCCGCCAGCCTCTCACCGCTGGCAGCGCACGCCACGCTCCCTGTGCCCCTGGAAAGTGGCACCACTCGGCCAGTAACGTGAAGCCTGGCTTCGCCGTGGCGCCGGCAGAGCCAGGTGCGGTGCCGGTGGCTGGGCAGAGCACAGTGCGCTTTCCCTCAGGCGGCCCCACCCTTCCCCAGGCTCTGTGAGGGCAGCACGCTGGCCACCGCCCGCCTTACAGGTCGGCCACGCGCCCAGGGCCACACAGCTGCCGTGCAGACAGCATCGCCGGCTGCCTGGCTGCCGAGCCGGTGGACATGCGGCACAGCCGCCCTCCCAGGCATTTACTGAAAGGACGCGGCCAGCTGAGCGGCAAGTACATGCAGGCCGCTGTTTACTTTGGAAACTGGCGCTGCCAGGCTGTCAGCGGCTGTAGCTCAAGGCTGTGGGTGGGCAGCAAAACTTCCACTGAGCCATTCCCTGGGGCCGCTTTATTTACAGTGCCACCGCCCTGTGCAAGCTGGCACGCCGGGCTGGTCGCCGGGAGCAGCAGGAGAGCCCGGGCTGCCAGATTCCTGGAGGGCTGCACCTCCCGCCACGGCGCAGGCGGGCGCCGGGCGACAGCCAGCTCGCACCCTGGCACCTGGAGGCCAGTGCTCAGGTGCGGGGGCCGCGTGGAGGATGTCCAGCCAGAGCCCTGCCAGCCCATATTTCCAGAGAAATACGGGAAAGGCGCGAGGCCGCCTGAAGTTCCAAGGCCCAGAGTCACCCTGCGTCTTTTTTCCTGATGCACACGTGCACACGCAACCACAGGCGCGGGCCTCGTCCTGGGCTGGAGCACAGCCTGAGGGAAGGAGCCAGCCAGGCCAGGGGCCGCCCCCGCCTGTGGGGGCCGGAGTGTCAGTACTGCACCCAGGAATCACTCGTAGGTGCTCATTTCCAGTAAGTGATCTGCAAACGGAGGACGAAGGTATGCCGCCTCCAACTCCTGCCCACCACCCTCACCACCCCTCCCTCCCATTGGCTCTGGGCTCGCTCGGTCAGGGGGCATCAGGCCTTCTGCTGGCCTAGCTTTTGTCATCAGGAATGGCGACAGCAATGCAGAGCTTCCTGTTTGAAAGCAAAGCCAAGTAACACACGAACCACTAGGCGGACAGTCCCAACAGTCCTGAGTCAGGGTCAAATCTCACTTGAATTAAAATCTACATCTCTGACCTAAACAGACAGTGGCCGACCTAGAATCCCACAGGCCACATACACTAAAGCAGCACATAGAAAACCTTATTTTAGATGTCCCCCATTGGTGGCCACCACACGCACGTGGTCAGAAGGTTTGCACACATCAGCCCGCAGGCCTCCTCCAGGCCCTCAGGGCCCAGTTCCCACGACGGGACCCACAGCAGCCAAGGCACGGAGGGCGCTTCCCTGGACCCCGTGCCTGTCACCTGCCATCCCGCTCACAGCTCCCTCCAGGCTCGGACTCCCCACTGGCAGTGGATGCTTTCTCTGGAAGGCTCTGGGCTTGCCAGCGCATCTGTACAGAAAGGGGAGCCGTGCCCCCAGACTCAGGCCCTGAGCGTAAGGGAAGCTTGAACAAAACATCCCCCACAGACTGCTGCAGGGGCGAGGGACAGGCCTCCTTCTGGGTGCTCCAGCCACGTGAGCCCAGAGCTGGTGGTCTGCCTGGCACTCCCGCCCTGTGGACAGGGGTTCCAGGCACCTGCCCACCTCTGGGCCATCCTCTCCCTGTTGCTCTGCAGCCTTCATCCCCCCCGAGAGGACAGCTGTGGCCGGAAGCCCCGATGGAGCCTTCGCGGGCATCCTGGCCCACAGAAGCAGGCCCGCAGCCCCGCCTCCAGCGGCAGCAGCAGTGGCGGCGGCTGTCCCTGGCCAGTGGGGAGGCTGTCCCTGTTGAAAGCTGTCTTAGGGTGAGCCTGGCTCTGGCCCAGCAGCTGCACCTGAGGCGTCTGGCACCTGCTGCGAAGAAATCTAGGCCGTCCCTCTAGTGCACTGAGAAGGCAGGGCCCACGTGGCTCGCTGCGCCGGGCCTGTGAGAACCGGACTCCACAAAGAGCTGGAAGATTTGGACGCATCTGCCTACGCAGCCCTCTCCTCTTACTTTCAGACGCTGCTCGGGAGTCCGGGCACCTGCTCGCTGCATTTTCCAGTCGGAGGCGAGGCTCTTGCAAAGCAGGGCAGCAGGAAGATGCAGGATCGCTGAGGGAAATGCTGAGCCTCGTGGTGGCCCCGGGCCCTGCCTCACTCCCTGGGCCCCAGGGTCCTCGCACCTGACGCTGGGACCCCCGGTCTCTGCGGGGTGGGGAGCCTTTCTCTTCTTGAGGTTGCGGCTGAAGCTACTTATAGCGCAGACACCCAGACGGCAGGACTGGGGAGCCACAGCAGTGCCTGGTAACCTCATTTTCATACTTGGGGATCGCGGGAGCTGCTTTGCATGGAGGCCACAATGAGGAATTGTCTGGGAGGAGAGGGAGGGGCTGGGCCCTCAGGGAGTGTCCTGCAGTTCCGCATGGACGTTCCTGTTTCCACTCTGTCTCCGGCGCCCGAGCCCAGCGTGAAGGTGGGGTGGGCTCGGGGGCCCTGAGGGACCTTACTCCTCTTTCCGACCCACACTACTGATCCAAACAAAGCGCCACCCTCTCACTCCAGGGCGATGCAGAGGCGAGAGGCTGCCTGAGAGTCAGGAGAAGCTCCAGCTTGGTGGGCGTCTCTGAGCCTCAGTTTCCCCACTGGAATAGGTGTGTGATATCACGGGAGGAGCCTGAGGCGAAGGCCAGCCTCTCCGCTCGCAGAGGGTCCAGACACCATTGGAGGCTCAGGAGAAATCAGATGCACGGAAAGGTACTATGGAGCTTGGGGTGCTGGAGGGAGCAAGCTCTATTCACATGAGGGGCCGACCCAGGCAGAGGCTGGGCTCGCCCACTTCCTGGGGCCTCCGAGGCTCACGGCGCCTGCAGAATGGGTGATGCCTCCATAAGCCCAGAGTGGGGATGAGGTGCACCTCCTGGCTCCGGCCAAAGGGTGATGCCTCCGGTACCCCCAGGTTTGCCACAAAAAGTCACTGAGAAGAGGCCCACCCATGGGAGAGGGTGCTCAAGTGGAGCCAGCTCACTGGGAGAGGACTGTCGGGACCGCCCGCCAGGAGCCTGTGACTCTCGGATGCCCATCGGCGGAGCCAACTGGTCTGTCAGCGAGCCCTGCCCTGTGCGTGGCCTCGGGGGCCCTCGCCATGAGCAGCTTTTGCAGAAAACACATGGTTTGTAGTGTCCACCTGTCCCCAGCAATGTGGTCCGAGGGGCTAATCTGTGTGATGCTGGGGAAATCGGGGCTGTGCTGTGCCACTGAGGGGGGCGAGGGGTGTCCGCGGACAGCAGGCTGAGGACCAAGCCAGGGCTGGCCCACGAGGGGACACAGCTGGGGCAGCATTCAGCAGCCAGGCGGCTCTCCTCCGCCTCCTCCAGCAGCGCCCAGTCACCTGAGGTCGAGCTGCCGCCCCATTGTGGGTGGAATCCCCGTGGGCCTGTCCGTCTTCCTCCCACAGCCTCATGCCCGTATAGCCTTGACGTTCCAAAGGCAGGCAATGGGCTCTTAGCCACACCTGAGGGCAAGAGACCACGTGACTCAAGGGGG